AAAGAAAGAAAAAAGACTGGGCTTTTAGGCTGGTTTGTTTTTCACGGCCCCAGGGGCAGATCTTCAACCAGTGGGAGGAAGGAACAAGGAAGTAGTTGAGGTTGAAGTAGCATTTTCCAATAGTCATTCTGCCTTATTTACTTCAGTCCTGATAAGATGGAAATTCTTTCTCAAGTGCATCACCCGCTCCCTGCTTCTGAGAATGGACACTTCAAAATTTGACCTTTTCTACAGGTAACTCAAAGTCAATGTGACTGATCTCGTGCATTTTGCCAATGCCCATAGGCCCCTTTGAGGCAGGGGGAGTCAGTTTTCCACACAGGGCCGTTTAAGAGACACTAAAATGCCCTACCACAATGCCTTTTGAGTTCTTAGACTTTTAATCATGTCCCTCCCTGCCGTTAGGCTGTACTTTCTCACTGCTGTTATTCTGCCCCTCTGTAATATAATTTTTGCTACCTCAAAAATACTGTTTCTAACTTGTTATAAGCAGGAAGCCACAGTTCTGAAATTAGTACTCTCGTAAACTAAGAATAAATGAGTTCTGAGCGAGGGTTCCTGTGAGCAAAGTACATGACCCTTTGTCGGTGTTTGATTGAGATGTCCCCTTATGGGTTCACATGGCCCCTGTGCACAGCCCTGTCTTCCTGGATTGTCATCACTGATACACTAGCCTGTCAGGTCCCCAGGGTCAGGCACAACTTCCTGATCTTTGTAGCTGCAGCGTCTGCCATGCGGTAGGAACTCAACAGATGGTGTTTGTTTGTTTGTTTTGAGACAGAGTCTCGTTCTGTCACCCAGGCTGGAATGTAGTGGCGTCGTCTTGGCTCACTGCAACCTCTGCCTCCTGGGTTCAAGCGATCCTCCTGCCTCAGCCTCTTGAGTGGGTAGGATTACAGGCCCGTGCCACCACACCCAGCTAATGTTTGTATTTTTAGTAGAGACGGGGTTTCACCATCTTGGCCAGGTTGGTCTCGAACTCCTGAGCTCAGGGCCCACCTTGGTCTCCCAAAGTGCGGGATTACAGGCTCTAGCCACTGCACCCAACCAACAGATGCTTATCAAATGAAGGGGTGGGCTTGTGGTGGCATCCATTTGGCAGCTTGGGGGCCTTGTTCTACTTTCCCTTTGCCTTCCTGGTTTGGGGTGACTGTTCCTTGGAGATAAGAGAAGTTGATGATGGCAGATTCTCAGAGAGCTAAGGCGAAACCATTTCTAGCAGTTTGAACTCCCTTTAGTCCAATGGGGGAGGCAGTCCCTCCCTTTGGAATAAGCTCCCCGGGATGCCTCTGGCTTCGATGCCGCTCACTCTGGAGGAGACCTCAGTCTTAGGGTTGCGCTCTCAAAGCCTCTGTTTGTGAGCCCAATTCAGGAAGGGGTGGGGCTTCACTCCCCCTCAGCTGGGGGCTCCCTCAGGGTACCCTTGGCTTTCTCTCCCTCTCCAGGCCTCCGCTCCATAGGGCAGGAAGAAGCTGGTGGCAGAAGGGCTGTGTGGGCCTGTAATCGTCCATGGGGTTCACGTTGTGTGCTGCCTAGACAGAGCCGATTTATCAAGATGGGAATTGCAATAGAGAAAGAGTAATTCATGCAGAGCTGGCTGTGTGGAAGACCAGAGCTTTATTATTACTCAAATTAGTCTCTCTGAGCATGTGGGGATCAGAGTTTTTAAGGACAACTTGGTGGGTGGGGGGAAGTCAGTGAGCCAGGAGTGCTGATTGGTCAGGGATGAAATCATAGGGAGTCGAAGCTGTCCTCTTGCGCTCAGTCAGTTCCTGAGTGGGGGCCCCAAGATCAGATGAGCCAGTTAATCGATCTGGGTGGGGCCAGCTGATCCATCAAGTGCAGGGTCTGCAGAATATCTCAAGCACTGATCTTAGGAGCAGTTTAGGGAGCCTCCAATGGCATGGATCCTAAACTACAATTTCTAATCTTGTGGCTAATGTTAGTTCTACAAAGGCAATCTATTCCCCAGGCAAGAATGAGGTCTGCTCTGGGAAAGGGCTGTTACTATCTTGGTTTAACTATAAACTAAGTTTTTCCCAAAGTTAGTTCAGCCTGTGCCTAATGAGCATAGGAATGAGCGGGGACAGCTTGGAGGTTAAAAGCAAGATGGAGTCAGTTAAGTTAAATCTCTTTCACTGTCTCAGTCATCATTTTGCAAAGGCAGTTTTAGGCCTCTCCCTCTCTTCCCATCACAGCCCACTGGCTCCCTGATGCTGCATGTGGTGACAAGCTGGGACCTGGGTCCAGGCCCCAGTGATTCTTGCCTCAGGCCTGGGCCGGCAGTGGGCTGGGCTGTCTTGGTTCCTGAGCCAGACTCCAGCATTTCCTGGTGGGAGAGTTTGGGACTGACATAGTGTGTCTCCCAGAAGAGTGTGCCTTTTCTCTCCCTCTGTCCCAGGCAGAAGGGCAGAAGCGGGTAACGTCACTGAGGCTGTCCAGCTGCCTCACCAGGCTTCTGTGGATTCTCAGAACCCAGGGTCTTATGATCCCTGGTCCATGGCAGAGGTGAGGATGGGAGTGAAGCCAGTTACGCCACCCCCTCCTGCCTGCCCAGTGGACAAGCACAAGCCCGGGGTCAGGACGCTGAGGGAGCAGCCCGGGATTCTGGGGTAGTCGTTCCGGGCAGGAGCCTCTCTGAGTGTGTCGGCACAGCCCTGGCCAGTCTAGCAGATGGACTCCGGTGGCAGGGGCTGGGGAGCAGAAGGGGAGAGGGGAAGCTGGCCTCCAGCCCAGCAGGAGCACCCCCACCAAAGGGGTGGTGGAGGGCTGAAGACAAGCTCAGCACCCGTTCTCATCACCAACAGGCCACAGGTGCCCAGGAAAACGAGCAATCAGAGACCAGAGCATTGATAAAAGTGACTTTATTGAGTTGTCCAGGGATGTTCTGGGGTCTCCTCACTTCCCCCGCCCAGCTCTCCAGTCACCTGTCCCCAGCTCAGTCGTAGAGACCACCTTTCCCCCACGAGAAGGAGCTCAGGAAACTCATCAGTGTATAAAGGAGAAGACGGAGAGAGATTGGGACTCTCTGGATAGGGACCCTGAGCTGGAGGAGGGGATCCCCAGTAGAGGGCACAGGAACAGGAGCCTGGGGACAAGAGAAGCAAGAAGCCAGGGGAGGCTCTCAGTGGACGCTCTCAGTAGAGGCAGAGGGAGAAGGGAGGAGGAGCCCACAGTGTCTTTTTTTTTTTTTTTTTTTTTTGAGATGGAGTCTCGCTCTGTCGCGCAGGCTGGAGTGCAGTGGCGCGATCTCGGCTCACTGCAAGCTCCGCCTCCCGGGTTCACGCCATTCTCCTGCCTCAGTCTCCCAAGTAGCTTGGACTACAGGCACCCGCCACCACGCCTGGCCAATTTTTTGTATTTTTAGTAGAGACAGGGTTTCACCATGTTAGCTGGGATGGTCTCGATCTTCTGACCTTGTGATCTGCCTGCCTTGGCCTCCCAAAGTGCTGGGATTACAGGTGTGAACCACCACACCCGGCCCACAGTGTCATTTTAAATCTGGCCACAGCCTGGCTTTTGACCTCCCCTCCAGTTTGGTCCCACCCACCCTTCCCTTGCCCCTCTTTGCACCCTCTCTTCCAGCCCCAAGGGTGAGTCTTGCTGCTGCCCAGACATTCTGAGTTGTTTCACATCTTCCTTACCTTGTTCACACCTTTCATCTAGGGACCCTCTCTCCTCTCTCTTTTCTGTCCAAAACTCTCCCTATTTTTTTTTTTTTTTTTTTTTTTGGAGAAGGTCTTGATCTGTGGCCCAGGCTGGAGTGCAGTGGCATGATCTTGGCTCACTGCAGCCTCCACCTCCTGGGATCAAGTGATTCTCCTGCCTCAGCCTCATGAGTAGCTGGGGTTACAGATGCCTGCCACCACGCCCGGCTAATTTTTTGTATTTTTAGTAGAGACGAGTTCCTTGGAGGTGAGAGAGGTTGATGATGTCAGATTCTTAGAGAGCTAAGGCGAAATCATTTCTAGCAGTTTGAACTCCCTTTAGTCCAATGGGGGAGGCAGTCCCTCTCTTTGGAATAAGCTCCCTGGGATGCCTCTGGCTTTGATGCCCCTCACTCTGTAGGAGACCTCAGTTTTAGGATTGCGCTTTTGAAGCCTCTGTTTGTGAGCCCAATTCAGGAAGGGGTGGGGCTTCACTCCCCCTCAGCTGGGGGCTCCCTCAGGGTACCCTTGGCTTTCTCTCCCTCTCCAGGCCTCTGCTCTGTAGGGCAGGAAGAAGCTGGTGGCGGAAGGGCTGTGTAGGCCTGTAATGATCCGAGGGGTTCATGTTGCATGCTGCCTTGGGTGATCCACCCACCTGAGTCAGTTCAGGCCGGGCGCGGTGTCTCACGCCTGTAATCCCAGCACTTTGGGAGGCCAAGGCGGGCAGATCACGAGGTCAAGAGATCGAGACCATCCTGGCCAACATGGTGAAACCTCAATTCTACTAAAAAATACAAAAATTAGCTGGGTGTGGTGGCGCACGCCTGTAGTCCTAGCTACTGGGGAGGCTGAGGCGGAGAATCACTTGAACCTGGGAGGCAGAGGTTGCAGTGAGCCGAGATCCTACCACTGCACTCCAGTCTGGCGACACAGCAAGACTCCATCTCAAAGAAAAAAAGAAAGAGAAAAAAAGAATCCGTTCAAACATCCTACAGCGAAGCCTTTGAAATTGCCCGGGGCCAGGTGCAGGCTCCCTCCTCAACCTGCCCCCCACAGCCCCTCCTCTCTTGCTCCCACCCCACCTGCTGTCATTCTCTGTTGTGGGTTTTCTGAGTCTAGCACAATCCAGGCACAGAGTAGGCACCAAAAAACTCCAGGCACCAAAGATGGTGTTGGTTAAGATGACACAGAGAGAGAGAGAGAGAGCCAGCGCAGGTATTTAGGGGGAATAAAGGAGGGAGGGGTGGGATGGGCTTGGGGGCAGGGGTGAAGCTGCACAGGAGGCAGAGGGGGTCAGAGGAGAGGGCATAGGGGTAGGAGTGTGGGGTGTGGCTGGAGGAGCATCCTGGGTCATCAGACCACTGTGCTGAGGATGGAGGAATCCTCAGAACGCACGGGCAGCACTGGGGCCCGCTTGAGGGAGCGCCGAGTCTCATCTCGGTTCTGCCACACATAACGCACCAGATAAGCCACCACGAGTGTCAGCCAGCCCCCCATGGTGACCAGCAGGGCCACATCGGTGCTCCTCCGGGCCCCGCCCCACCCTGCCCCACACAGCTCTTCCTCCCCTGCCAGCAGCAGGAACTCCTGCCCCACGAGGTCCGGTCGGGCTCCTGGGCCACACACGATGCCTGTCCCAGTGCCTGGCGCCAGCCTCACCTGCTGGAGCACTTCCTGGAGGGCGCAGTCGCAGTGCCATGGGTTGGCGGATAGGTTCACTTGGATCTGTAGTCCCACAAAGGCCTCCACGGGCACCGAGGCCAGCTGGTTGGCAGAGAGGTCGAGGTGGCGCAGCGTGCCCTCCAGGCCCTGGAAAGCCGCCCCTGAGAGGTGGGCAAGGGCATTATGGGACAGATCCAGCTCCTCCAGGACAGGCAGGTTCTGGAAGGCACCAGCAGGCACAGATGCCAGCTGGTTGGCATCGAGGTAGAGCTTGCGGGTGTTGTTGGGGATGCCAGAGGGCACAGTCCTCAGACCTGCCTGGCTGCAGCGGAACGTCTGTTCACCTGCTTCCTTTGCCACGTAGCAGCCCCGGGGAGGCACCAGGGGGCTGGGCACAGTACCCCCTGTGCCTATCATCAGCAGGAGGGACAGGAGGTGACCTGCTGTTGGGAGCATGGCCATAAACTGGCATAGTCCTGGAGTGGAATAGGATCTGGGGAAGAAGAGGCCACATAAAAGAAGAGTGAGTCAAGAGAATCGCATGCCCCTCTGCCAGCTTTCTCCTCCTGAGGTCCCTCTGGGGAGTGTCTTTGGGCCGCGGCCTCTTCTCTGGGGGCTTCTCTCAAGCCTGGGTGACTTTTTCACTTCCTTCTTGGGGTCTCTCTTGATTTAAGGCTCCTCAATAGGGCCTTTTGGGTAAAGGGTCTTTTGCGCTTGAAACTCTTTTAGGGTCTGTTGATTCTAGAAGGTTAATCTATGAGGCCTTGTTGGCCATTCTGGGTCTTCGGGTTTCTAAGTTTCTGCCTCTGTCCATGTATTGATTCCTGTCATCAGAATAAAGTCTTCTTCCCCTACCTACCTGGGAGGCTGCCAAGTGGGCTAGGTAGGCACCAGAAGGTCTAGTTGGCACTCGTGTGATGGAGACAAGGGGGACACATGAGCGATAGGGTGTCAGGGCGTCCAGCTAGGCCAGGTGACTAGGTAAAATGGACCTCTGACCCCACCTTCTGTGCCCTTCTACCCCTTTTCTGGGAGCATCCACCCCTCTGCCTGCCCCAGCTCTGTCCTCTCTGCTCTGCACTTTCTCCCTCCTCCTCCCCGTCCTCCTCCATTCTTCTCACCCCTGTTGGTGGCAGAGCCTTCTCGAGTGCAGGTGCCCTCTCCCTGGATGGAGGCTCCCTGCTGCTGGGCTCTGGAGACCCGCTTCCTCCTCCAGAAGCCCTGTTTGCTCGCAGCTGCTGGAAGTTGGGGGCTGGGACCTAAGAGTGTTGGGTTTCCTGGCATGTGACTCCGGGCCCAGGTGTCGGATACCTGAGCCATGGTGTGGCCAGGCAATGCCAAGAGAGGGCAGATCCTGGACCCTGATGAACTCTGTCGTGGGGAGACCAGGCCCCAGTTCCATTCCGTGTACCAGGCTCCCCTCCCAAGGTCTTGATGCTGCCATCTTCCATCACTCCTCAAGGCTGAAACTCTGCTTCCCAGAACCCTTCTTCCTTACCCAGAACCTGGCTGCGCAGAAGGATCCCTTCGTGGCAGGCCTGGCAGGCAGAACTGGGTGGGCCCCATCTCACATCCACGGTCTCCAGCAACCAGTATCCCCCCAACTCCATTCCTCCCCCTATCCCCTTCTGCCCTTCTTCCACGCTCAGTGGCCCCTTCTTCCATGGTGAGCAAACTTCCCCTAGCCTTTCCTTGGAAAACATGTCTGTCTGGGGTTCCTCATCTCCTGGCTCCTCACCGTGCCCAGCCCTCTTGCCTGCCAGGAGTGCTGTAGTTCAACTTTAGTTTGTTCTCTGTGTGGTGGATTGATTGCCTCTCTAGGAGTTGGAAGTTCTTTAAGGCACCTGAAGACTGATGTGGTTGTCTCTGAGTTTTCCTGCTGATTTTATGATCTGGATGAGAACTGACTCAGGTTCTCTCAGTTTGCTGGAGCCCTGGACTCTCAGGTTGGCACTTTGAATTCTCCCTCAGGCCTGGGCACCAAAGAAGGCTTGGATGACTTGTTCCTCCAGGGCGTCCCTACCCCAGGCATCATTTGCAGGCCATGCCATTCCTCGATACCACCCTCTCCTAATGTTCACTGGGTAGTGGGAAAGAAGGATTTCAAGGCAGAAGATGAGATTCATGTGTGACCGTAGGGTTGGGAGGACCCGCCAGGGTTGAGTCGATGTGAAGGTACTTTGTGAAGTGCTGTGCAAAGGCTAGTTGTTAGGATTACTGACTTCCAGAACACGTCATGGTCTTCCTCCCTGATTTCATTACCCACGCCAGGCTTTTCCCTCCACTTCCTCTCGTATGCTGTGCAGGGGCAGGGATGACAAGGGGTCATAGATGTGATCCATGTGGATGACCCATCTCATTTCTTAGCCCATGGTGGCTTATCCCCTGCAACTCCCTTGACCCTCAAGTCCAACCACATGATGCCTCCTGTGGCACCACCCTACCTACAGTATCTCCAGTTCGGTGCTGGGATTCAGAGCCTCAGTGATTGATAGAGCTCAAAGGAAGGGACCAGCCAGTTGAACCCTCCTTAGTTTGCAGACAGGTAAACTGAGGCCCAGAATGTGACCCGAGTTACACAGTGTCAGTGGCCAAAGACCAGAGCCCAGTTTTCTGACTCCTTGTCCAACCACTTTTCATTGCCTGCTAGCAGCTGTTACCTCTGTGCCACGCTTACCAATACCCTACATCCTTGCATGTTGAGCCTGATGGTACCCACGGTATTGTATTGTATGGCACCTGGAAGCCCTCCTGCCAGGTCAAAGAGGTGGAAGAGAACGGGAGAGTGGGGTGTCACAAAGACTAGGAAGGATATACTTACGCAAAGGAAGATGAGGTCACACGCATTGGACATCTTTCTGAGAAGGATTTTTCTTGCTGGATTTTGCAAGACTATGGGTGACCAGGACTGGACATGGAATTGTAGAGCTCAGTGCAAAATAAAAATGGGTCGTGTGTGGGGGGGGTCCCTTGTTTCAAAAACCTGTTAAGAATTTCTTCCTTTTTTTTTTTTTTTTTTTAAGATAGAGTCTCACTGTGTGGCCCAGGCTGGAGTGCAGTGCTGTAACCTCGGCTCACTGCAACCTCTGCCTCCCAGGTTAAAACGATTCTCCTGCTTCAGGCTCCCAAGTAGCTGAGACTATAGGTGCCTGCCACCATACCCAGCTAATTTTTGTATTTTTAGTAGAGACAGGGATTCACCATATTGGCCAGGCTGGTCTCAAACTCCTGACCTCAAGTGATCCACCCACCTTGGCCTCGAAAAGTGCTGGGATTACAGGTGTGAGCCACCACGCCCAGGCGAAAGCTGTTAAGAATTTCAAGGCCTTGCCAGGTGTGGTGGCTCACGCCTGTAATCCTAGCTGTTTGGGAGGCCAAGGTGGGTGGATCACTTGAGGCCAAGAGTTTGAGACCAGCCTGACCAACATGGCGAAACACCGTCTCTACTAAAAATACAAAAAATTAACTGGGCTGCGGTGGTGCACACCTGTAATCCCAGCTATTTGGGAGGCTGAGGCACGAGAATCACTTGAACCCAGGAGGCAGAGGTTTCATTGAGCTAAGATTGCGCCTCTTCACTACAGCCTAGGTGACGCATCAAGGCCCTGTCTCAAAAAAAAAAAAAAAAGAATTTCAAGGCTGGGTGCAGTGGCTCATGCCTATAATCTTAGCACTTTGGGTGGCCAAGGATCAAGGAGCCTCACGAGTTTGAGACTGGCCTGTGCAACATAGTAAAACCTCGTCTCTACCAAAACAAACAAACAAACAAACAAAAAATTGTCCAAATACAGTTTCTACAAAAAGAAAAAATAAATCAACGGACCATGGTGGCACATAGGCACATACTTGTATTCCTAGCTACTCGGGAGGCTGAGGTGGGAGGATGGCTTGAGCCTGGGAAGTGAAGGCTACAGTGAGCTGTGATTGCACCACTGCACTCTAGCCTGGGTGACAGTGTGTGACTCTGTCTCTAAAAAATAAAAATAAAAAAGAATTTCAAGATGACGACAGCAGCACAGTGTAAAACCAAGTTGCAGGGCTCTTCTGAGCACAGGGCATGAGGTCTTGTGGGACCTCGTCGGCTGCATGCCTGTGAGGCTGGCCCTGCAGGTTACCTTTGAACAAGCAGTTTCAGAAGCGTGATGGGGACTAGATAGGATACCAGATGATATCATCTCTGAGGATGTCCTCACCACAGACTCATTTCTGTGATATCAACAGGGGCATTTTGCAGACTCACATTTGTCTAAGGAATCAGATAACTTTCTACACTTAGGCAGGAGAAGCAACAAGCAATCCTTTTCTCTGAGGGTTACTTGTCAATAAGGCCAGACACTCTGCTGCTGGCTACTTGGGTGTCCATTTTGGGACTGTCGCTGAATGTGGGACAGAAAGCTGATCAATCCTCCCTTTCCCCCTGTTCCTCTCTCACACTGGGCAGGGGCTTTAACTGAGGCACAAGAATTGAGCCTGGCTGTTGATGGAGGGTTATTTCCTTCTAAGACTAGGGCAGCTTCTGGGAAAACAGTGGGACTAGGGTGTCCAGCACAGCAGCTGTGGGAGAAGCAGGAGCCCAGCCGGAGCTGTGGATGTGGCTAATTAAGGAAGGCTGACTGCAGACTCAGTGAAGGAGGGAGATCTGCGGCGAGGGAGGAACCACACTTAGGACAGTGCACACTGCAGACTAGGGACTGCAGAGTTGGAGCAGAAATTCTCTGCCATTCATTTATTTGTTTATTCATCCAGTGAGGATTTCCTGTGAGCCTTGTATGCTAGTCGAAGGAAACATAGACAGGGTTCTTAAGGTGCTGGGTCTATGTCAGGGTTCTCAAAACACCCTGCACATTCAAATCACTTGGGGAGCTTTTACAAATTAGTTATGCTGGGGTTAACATCTGGACCAATTACATTAAAATCTCTGTGCATGGGGTCTAGGCACTGGTTTCTTTCAAAAGCTCCCCAGATATGTCTAATGTGCAGCCTGGGTTGAGAATTGTTGGTCTGGAGGGAGACACAGACATGTCTCCACAGTGCTTTGATGTGATGCCTGCATTAATTGATGTTTGTACAAGGAGCTGTGAAGCATAGAGAGAATAAGTATTAATAACATGGCAGAACTATCCCTTCCCTCCTACTACCAGATAACACACATGGCTTTGGGAGTGGCAATGCACTCAGTCCTTGACAATTCAACCTGATTGATCTTCTCAGCCATCAGAAATCCTGTTGCCTACTTCTCCAATCTCCTTTGCAGCTGAGGGCGGCCCAATTCTGGTCAATGGCATCTAAGCAGAAGTTTGCAGAATAGGTTTGTGGGACAGTCTTTGATTTGCTGGTAAGAGAGGATGGGGCTGGGGCTCTGCTCTTCTCCGTACTTTTTTTTTTTTTTTTTTGAGATGGAATCTCTGTCACCCAGGCTGGAGTGCAATAGTGCGATCTCGGTTCACTACAACCTTCACTTCCCGGATTCAAGCAATTCTCCTGCCTCAGCCTCCTGAATAGCTGGGATTACAGGCCTGCACCACCACACCTAGGTAATTTTTGTATTTTTAGAAGACATGAGGTTTCGCCATGTTGGCCAGGCTGGTCTTGAACTCCTAACCTCCAGTGATCTACCTTCCATGGCCTCCCAAAGTGTGGGATTACAGGCATGAGCCACTGCACTGGCCTTTTTTTTTTTTTTGACAGAGGGTATCACTGTGTTGCCCAGGCTGGAGTGCAATGGTACAAACACAGCTCACTGCAGCCTTGATCCCCAGCAAACTCAATCAATCCTCCTGCCTCAGCCTCCTATGTAGCTGGGACCACAGACATGTGCCACCACAATGAGACAATTTTTGTTTTTGTTTTTGTAGAGATGAGGGTGTCACTTTGTTGCCCAGGCTGGTCTCAAACTCCTAGGGTTCCTGCCTCAGCCCCCACAAAAGTGCTGGTGATTATAGGCATGAGCCACCATGCCTGGCCCCTACTTTGAACATGAAAGGGTCAACTCAGGCCATCTCGTGGCCATGAGACAACAAAGCATAAAGGGAAGGTTGAATATTATTGAGATGTTGGCCTGGAAATCACTGAGCTACTCAACCAACACCAGCAACCGCCACCTCTAGACTCAATACGTGAGAAAGAGAACCCCCTAATTTCAGTGCTTCTCAATTTGGCTGCATACTGGAATACAGGCAATTTTGAAAACTCCTCATGCCTGGGTACACCCACGGAGATTTTGATTGAGTTAATCTGGCATGTGTCTGGTGATGGAGCTCTTTTTTCTTTTTGAGACAGAGTCTCACTCTGTCACCCAGGCTAGACTGCAGTGGCACCATCTCGGCTCACTGTAGCCTCTACCTCCTGGGTTCAAGAGATTCTCCTGCCTCAGCCTCCCAAGTAGCTGGGATTACAGGCACACGCCACTATGCCCAGCTAATTTTTGTATTTTTAGTAGAGATGGGTTTTCTCCATGTTGGCCAGGCTGGTCTCGAACTCCTGACCTCAGGTGATCCACCTGCCTCAGCCTCCCAAAGTCCTGGGATCACAGGCGTGAGCCACCGTGCCTGGCCAGGTGATGGGAATTTTCAAAAGCTCCTCAGGTGATTCTAATGGCAATCTAGGGTAAGAATCATTATTTGGGTTTTCTGTTGCTTTCCGCTGAGAGCATCCTTAACTGGTACACTAGCTTTTCCAGGGTACAATCAAGGAAGACTTCACCAAGGAGTGACATTTGAGCTGAGCTTTAAAGGGTGAGTTACTCAGGTGGTGAAGCAGAGCGTGCAAAAGCAAGGGAGCATGAAAGGGCTTGGCTTCCAGATCACCGCGTGGATGGAGGGGGTGGTGGCAAAGGCCAGGGGTAAAGAAGTAAAAAGGGAGCAGATCCTTGTGGCTTGCATACCATGAATGCATTGGGACTTGATTCTGTGGCTTATCGATTAAAAAGGTGTTATTTAGTTTTTATTATTTTATTTATTTATTTTTTTGAGACGGAGTTTCACTCTTGTTGCCCAGGCTGGAGTGCAATGGCATGATCTCAGCTCACTGAAACCTCTGCCTCCCAGGTTCAAGCGATTCTCCTGCCTCAGCCTGCAGAATAGCTGGGATTACAGGCACCAGCCACGACACCTGGCTAATTTTTATATTTTCAGTAGAGACGGGGTTTCTTCTGACCTCAGGTGATCTGCCTGCCTTGGCCTCCCAAAGTGCTGGGATTACAGGCGTGAGCCACTGTGCCCGGCCTATTTATTTATTTTTTTTGAGATGGAGTCTCCCTCTGTCACCCAGGCTGGAGTGCAGTGGCTTGATCTCGACTCACTGCAATCTCTGCCTCCCAGGTTCAAGCGATTCTCCTGCCTCAGCCTCCCGAGTAGCTAGGATTACAGGTGTGCACCACCATGCCCGGCCAATTTTTTTTTTATTCTTGTTATTTCTTTATTTTTTTTAGTAGAGACGGGGTTTTACCATGTTGGCCAGGCTGGTCTTGAACTCCTGACCTCAAGTGATCCTTCGATCTCGGCCTCCCAAAGTGTTGGGATTACAGGCGTGAGTCATTGTGCTCGGCCAAGTTTTTATTTTTATTTTTTTCGAGACAGGGTCCCACTCTGTCTCCCAGCCTGTAGTGCAGTGGTGGCATCACAGCCCACTGTAACCTCAACCTCCCCAGGCTCAGGAGATCCTTCCACCTCAGCCTCCCAAGGGGCTAGAACCAGAGGTGCATGCCACCATGCCCAGCTAATTTTTTTTTTTTTTTTGTATTTTTGTGTAGAGATGAGGTTTGGTCATATTGCACAGGCTGGTTTCAAACTCCTGGGTTCAAGTGATCCGCCCACCTCAGTTTCCCAAAGTGTTAGGATTACAAGCATGAGCCACCGCATCTGGTCGGATTGAAAGGTTTTAAAATTAGATTTGATATTTGGATCACTATGTTGGTTGTGTCGGGATGTAT